CTCTCTCTCTCTTTCTTTCTTTCTTTCTTTCTTTCTTTCTCTAAGTTTATTTTTAATAGAATCCTTACAATTGAATGATAGTTAAGTAATGAATACCTCATAGAGTAAAGGACTCCACCGTTTTGTGAGATGCGGAGGAATTTATTGGGACGCGTTATGGTATGCAAATGAGATCCCTTTCCCGTATGGAAATAAGTATCCGGCTTAAATAGAAGTAATAGTTAAAACATATACAAATTAACCATATTAATCATGTAATTAATACTTTAACAAGATTCACACCATATTTTGGAAAATATCCTTCAAATTTTTCACAATTCTTAGTGAAATTTGTAAAATGATTTAAAAACTTAACAATTATGTGATGAAGGGGTTAAGGAGTAACAAAATAAGGTATAAATGTGTATTTATTGAATGAATACCTTCCAGATCTTGTCCAACATATTTATATTAAGGCTTAAGAACTTTGAAGGACCGGAAAATTCCAGCCTTTTGTCTAACCATTTCTGACGGAAATAACAGTCTAATGAAAATTCCTGTTTATTTATTGAAATAAAATTTTGGTTAAATCAGTGATAAAATAATATGTTTGTCACAAGTGTTGTAAATAAATACTTAATGCTTATATAATTATATAAAAATTGTGAAAACACTGTTTAAAAATAAATTCAATTTTCTAAAGCTTATACAAAAAGGATTTAAAACATAAATTGCTAAAAACAAAGATAAAGTTTTAATAGATTTAATGCTTGAACTTTCCTTTAATTAATGTAACTTTTTAAATTATATTACAACTATTAACTAATATTAACTACGTTTGCAAACATTATATAATTTCAAAATATTAACCATGCATTTACGTTAGAAAAGATTACAAATATGAGTCAATACAAACCATATCGAGCTCAGAGATGGGACCAATACTTCTGATTTCTAAGTTTGTTGTAATCACAGCTTCGGGTCCTTTCCGTCCGTTATTTTAAATAAAATTATGTTTAAAATAAATATTTTGACTCTTTTTGATCGAGGAATGAATGCATTTAAATAGTATATCCATTAGTTGTTAATTAATATACAGTGAACACTCGATTACTATATCGAATGTTCACTGTATTGTATATTACTGTCATATACTGTATGCAAAAATTCGTTAAATTTATTTCAA